AGTTTTTTATTTATCTCAAAAAGTCTACTTCCCTCTCTCTTCTGTTGCCATTTTAAAAATGAATCTGATTAGAATTGGTGTCAGTGATTCTCAACCTGTCGTTCGTTTTGTTTTCTCTGGTATAACATGGTTTATTTTCTGTTGGTCAGTACACTATTTTATCTTGTGAGCAACACCCAATAAAAAAATAGTTAAAAAATATATGCCACACCGAGGATTGTCGTCTGTTTGTTGTTGACCATTGTACGAAAATCTTAAGCTGTGGAATAAATTTACAAGTAATAAAAATAAAATAATAGTCAAATATTTGGTGACTGGTTATAATGTGTCCCATTTATGTTCCAAGTGGACAGGACGTCATCGGAACGACCACTTTGAAAGGAACCAGTTACCTGCGTAAAGGAGTGGCGTCGGCGATATTTTTAAAACGTATTCTATTTTTTTTATACACACACGTGTGCTTAAGAAAAATATTTTGGACGTTTCTTTTTGGTATGTTGAAGATTTTCAAGTGTTATCGAGATTATCTCAAATTAGATTATATTTTAAACGAACTTTTCAGATTCAACTCATTTAGTACACAGTTACAATACAGACTTAGTTGGTGAAGTTAGCTTCAGACTTGGATTTGCATTTGTTTTTTGTTGACATAAAGTGAGGTCAGTTTGTGTTGGGCATAAAAGCTTCATACTTGTCATGAGTCGAACGTGAAAATAAACACACTCCAAGGTCAAAAATACTCAAAAAGAACCTTCGGAAAAAGAAATAGAAATAGATATCCCAAATTAATTTCATTGCGGTCAAAGACCTCATATGTTGGGCTTGCTTTGACATTTTTGCTATAAAATAATGTTTAATCATGTTAAAGTTTTTGCACTACTGATTTAAAATTAAAGATTTTGGTGTAACACTGGTGTAACTATTAAGTAATCAATTATCTTAAATAAGTATTAAAAAGAAACTAGATAAATATGTTATCTTTGGATATCTCGAACAAAGAATGTACCTAAATTTACAGATCTCTTTATTTCCACATCAACATTAACTTATGTATACCATATACCTTAATATATTATTATTATAGATTATTTTAAGGAAAATATTTGTGTATACAGAGTAATCAAAATTGATTGAGAGAGTTGGTACACCCTGTTTTTGCCGTGAAGTTTGTCAACCTTATGACAGATTTGTTTAAGGTTATGTGGCAGTGAATTCAGTGGCGTGACAAGAGAACTGGGGGTTGATTGTCGAATCAATTCTACGCCCCAAATTCGTCTAGAGTACCCCTTCGGAAATGCCATCACTACAAAAGTGTTCTCTGCCTACAGACAGAGGCATATTAGGAAACGCAATCGAACAAATCCAAAATTCGAAACTTCAAATCTGACAACTAATATTTTTTACCAAAAAAAAAATCGAACAAAGACACCACTGAGTTTTGAAATTTGAAACTTCAACCTTCAAATCTAGCAGCTAATATTTTTATACAACTTAATAAACCAAATTATTCAAGTTCAGGTTCACCAACTCTCTCAATCAGTTTTGATGGCTCTGTCACAGTATAGATATCAATCAATAGAGACAGCTCCCCGTTTTTCGTGACCCGTTTTCGTGGGTGGTCGTTCGCATTATGACCGAATGAGGGCGCCCAACTGACGTCTAAAATAAAGTCACTAGATAGATTAAGTACCGCAATCCATTAGGCCCATGAGTTAGAGAGAGATATGTCAATTTTGCCCCAAAATGGTGGCGCTTCTTAGTGTCTTTTGTACATTACTAAAAGTTTACTGGTAGAAGTGCTTCAAGGACGCATTCTCTGCTACGTCACATAAATTGAGTTCTGTGGTGTATAGCACGTGTATAATAATAAATAATAATTAGTTTATTGTTAGTTGCATTACGTATCTTCCAGCCCTTTTTATATTCTTGTTCTCCCAAAACATGGTAACTTTGGAGATTTCCAATTTTTGTTTGTTTAAAAAATAATTACCTTCTCAGCATTTACCTCCCATAATATAATATGTTGATGTCTGTTATTTTCACTATATGCCAAAGTATATAGCCCTCTTGGCTAAATATTTTTCCATTACTTGAAAAATTCAGATTTCAGATAAATAACATTTAAATTTACCGCTTTTTTGCCCCAAAATGGAGGAGCATTGCGGTACTTAATCTATCTAGTGACTTTAGTCTAAAATATTTGAAATTTGGCAGTTTTGTTACGATATTTTTGTCGGTTTTGCTTGTTTAAGACTGCTTTTCCGGTAGAATTGTACAAATTGTATAAAAATGTAATTTTCACAATAAAAGGTAAAATCTTTGTCCGATGAATTTTCATACAGGATCCCTGTTGTGCGCCTTATTCTCTCCATCGTGTTTGGAATTGTTGGAAAAGACAGTAAACATAACACACTTTTTGTCTAAAAAGTCGTCGCAAACGGACAACAACGGTGGTTATGAAATAAATAATAAAAATTTATTACATATGATTCCGTTGTTGTGGTAAAATTAAATATAAAAATAATAAGAAACAAACTACACGTAACAAAAAATTATATAAGCAGACTTTCTCTCAATAAACAATTTTTTTATTCATCATGTATATATATATATAGACATGTAATCGTCCATTACGAAGCCCACAATGCTATATTCCACAGCTTATACTAAACCCGACACCGACTTACGAAGCCCGAAACCGGGCTTCGTAAAAATCATGTGTATTAAAATTTATTTCTTGCGGTTGGGTTGGTATTGATAAAATATAATATGCTGGAAAGATCCTAGTTGAAGTGGGCTTCGTAAAAATCACGCGTATATCGTCGTAGTTTTTACCGTTAAGTTGGTATTAACAAAAATGTAGAATTAATGCGGGCTCAGTAATGATGCCTTGTATCTGCAAATACACGGGGTATAGTTCACACCATCTTTCTGTAGGGGGCGTCCCAGTTTTATTCTGTATATAAAATATACAGAGTGCAGGGACATGGCGGATTATAAGAACCAACTATTTGCTGCGAATTATGCAAAGCCCTAAATTTGTCAACACTGTTTATGTCTGATTGGGAGCGCTTAGGGAAGAATTACTTTAGTTGCGCTAGGTACCCAATATTGAACTTTGTACATATACCTAACTAAATACCTATGAAGTGAAGTTATTTACCTACATTGATTAAAAACAAAATACCTATTGAATTAGTTATATTTTCTTTAATAAATAAATTATTTATGGTCTTTTCGGTACTGCACCATTTTTTTTAACTGCCAGTTCTTTGCCGAATTTTATCAGTTGTAAAACTGTGGCAATTCCTTTTTGTTAATTCTTTTAGAAACTTTAGCAGTACATTTTAAAACTACCAATTCTTTTAAGAACCTTTTTCACAAATACGTCAGTATTTTATACTACTGAAACAATTCTTTTATCAATAGGGCAGCTGTTTTTAAAACTGAAATATTTCTTTTCTTTGCTTCAAAACAACATTTTCAGAGTTGTGTACAAACATTTTTTTTTCTCAATTGCAGCAGCTGTTTTCAGCACAAGTTTATGTCCTTCACCACATTTTCCAAAACCAAAGTAAAAACAAATTTTACTATTTTAAAGTGGTTGTAAGTAATTAAACCATTTTTTTTTAGAATTTTAAAGTTAGTCTTTCCAAAACGTTAGCATTTACTTTGATAAATACAAAAAAAATCCATATCCATTTGTTTTTTATTGCAAAAAAGAGTTATGTCAATTTATTCTGTATTAGAATAGCTTTGTCAAATGCAGTATGTTTTTTTGTATTGTCTTTTCTTTGTAAAAAGACACTAGCTTTTTCAGAACTATGGGAGCTATACACATTATTTCATTTTTGGAATTAAAATGGTTGCTCTGGAGTTGTAAAAATAAACGCTTAAATGATTCAGACCAACTGATTGTAGTTTTTTATTTTACTGTTTCTCAATAAAAAAACATAGACCGAATAATAATTGCTGTTTTCTCTGAGTAACAAATAGTATATTATTTTATGAGGAGCTAAAACATTATTTTTTCTGGCGAGTTTGTAGGTTTGCCAGACGAACGTAGTGAGTTCAGAAATAACAGACGAGCAAAAAAAAATGTTTAGCTCCGAATAAAATATGCTATTTTTTGTCCAAACGAGCTCCAAATTTGCTTTAAGACCGAATTTGCCCCTGAAAATTACGTTTACGCTTGCGATTTGTTAGTTTGCTGTGGCCATTTGCTGTAACATCATTGTCAATATAAAAAAGATTCCAATTTTTCGCAATTTCTTACGTGTTTTTACGAATATTGGTAAGTATTTCTCTATAATTATAATCATTTTAGATATTACAGCATTATTTTTGTAGCAGGTAGAGGCTAGAAAATGGCAGAAGAAGTAAACAGACCTTTTGAAATTGTTCAGGCTGCAGCAAAAGCTGTAAACAATTTACTCCCAACAAAATCAAGTGCATTATATGAAGCCACATACAGCAAATTTATTAAATGGTGCAAGAAAAAAAACGCTGAAAATTATTCGGAAATTGTTTTATTGCCGTATTTTCGTGAACTCTCCACAAAAAGTGTAAGTTTATTTAAGTTAGTTTAGTTTAGTTATTTTGTATTATTCTTATATTTTTGTTTTTCTGTAATATCATGAGGGTTCTCGTAAATAAACTATTATTATTATTATAAAAATTAAATGTTCGTCGTTATGGTCTCAATACTCAATGATACGATCTTTGTTGAACATTAAAGAAGGAGTATACATCAGCAAGTACCTACTTAAAACTGCGTGCGTACCTGAAAAAACAGAGTGAAGGCTATGTTCCGAAAAAGTCGAAGGTGTTCACCAATTTGAAAAGTTCTTGAATGAGGCTTCGGATGACGAATATTTGGCAATAAAGTTTAGTTTTCAGTATTTCGAAATTTCGATATAAGTAAACTAGATAATATTCATGTTTAGGTAATTTTGATGATTGGAAAAGCGGCTGGTTGCCGTTATGATGAAATGATAAAAATGGGAACCAGCGATGTCCAGGATCTAGGATCTCTGCTTTTGATCAACATTCCTGATTCAAAAACGCATAAGAAACGATCGTTTACAGTAATTGGAGAACCTTACACAAGCATCTGTAGAAAATATGTTTCGCTGAGACTAGAAAATATTCCGGAACGACGTTTTTTCTTAAAATATTGCAAAGGAAAATGTCATCGTGCTGTAATGGGTATTCATAGTACCCAAGAATGCTGCATCTTATCTGAGATTACCGCATTACAGAGTACACAGGACACTGTCTTCGGCGCACTTCAGCTACACTGCTTGTGGATAGTGGAGCCAATCTTACATGCTTAAAAAGACATGGAGGTTGGAAGCCCAGCAGTGTAGCTGACGGCTATATTGAAGACTCTTTAGCCAACAAGAAAGAAATAGCAACTAAAATTTGATCAACAAAGAGCATTGCAAGTACGTCTGCTATAAAAACCTTCCGAGGAACCTTCCCAGGGATTTTCAATGAATTGTGTCAATACTGTTTGACTATAAGTATAGCTGATGATGTATAGGACTCGGCTTTTTCTAGTGCTTGTAATTTTCAAAATGCAAATATTAGTAACTGTACTTTCAATTTACATTTCAATAAATAATAATTATAATTTGCCAGTTTTTTATTTTAACTCCAGTCATGAGCGGCATTAAAGCATTTTAAAGCCGCTGACCCGTTGCAAAAATCAAATTAGAAACAAAAATCATGAAAATAGGTTTTATTAAAGAACTTTTTGTCTAAACACATTGTACACAAAAGTTTTAATGCGCACCCAATCCTTGTTTAATATACGGATTACTTCAAACTGCATATTCAAAAGAAAATCACACCAAAAAAATATGAATGTGATGAACTGCTAGCTAAGCATGCTGATGTTTTTTTTATAACAATTGTCTTTTCAGTTTCTGTCCAACGAACGCGGCCACATGGTTTTATTTTCTTCCCTCCTAAAATTAATACTCCGTAACAACTTATTATGGATCTTAACTGAACAATTAGGCACCTTTTTTAACTGCAGCTTCCATGCTTGAAGGACCTGGTTCAGCATTAAGTTGAGAAGTGCTCTCCGTGCATTCTGCATTTTCCGGCCCAAACTGTGAAATTTCTTCACTTTCAACATTTTCAAAACTAGCTGTATTACGAAAAGAGTCTTCGTCATCAGAATTTAAATACATATCCTTGTCTATTTTTATTTCATCGAGGCTTTTTCCTATAAATTGTCTTCCTCTGCCTTTTTCTAACAACATTAATACTTTGGCCACCTTTGCAGTTTGAAAAATATCTTGGGGTAACCTGTTAAAAAATTGTATTTAGAGTAACTTTTTTAAGCATAAGTTTAAAAAATTGGTCGAAAGTTGTTCCGATAGAGCATTTTCGAGTCGTTTTACACAATTTTGTGATGACGTCATCAACATTTTTACAAGGACACGTGTATGTATAAACTTGGACTGGTGTAGGGTAATACTATCACAAGTAAAAACTCATCATATTTCGCACATTTTAGGTAGAATTTTTTTGGGGAGAACAAATAGATATACTTGGATTAACAATTTACTATGCTTACAATAACTTCAAAATGTCTGCAAGATTTCAAAGCATTTGGTTTTGCAGTCCCTGAATTAATCAATAAAATAAATTGACTCAGTGTCATTAAATTTTTTGAAACATCCCGTATATGGAAATTTAAAAAGTATTAATGGAATAGTACATCACATGTACAGACTCATCATATTTTATACATTTTAGATAGGACTTATTCAGCTAAATTTTGGGGTGACGTCAGCAATTTTTTAGGGGGATGACCAAATAGATTTTGATAAAAAATTTACCATGCTTATCATAACTTTAATACATCTGCAAGATTTCAAAACATTCGGTTTTGCAGATTCCAAATTAAATTGCAAAATGTTGTTTCATAATTTTGATTTTTTTTCTAAAAAATTTAAATTTTTTATTTTCTCTCAAAAAAACACATTAACATGTGATGCAGATTGCTTTTATTATCCCAACTACTTAAATATTGCAAGATACTTACCAATTTCGTTTTGAGTAGCCAAACTAACCAAAAACTTAAAGTGGTCCATGCTAGCACCTCGTACGTGCACTTCGATCACAAGAATTAAAATGATCTCATCAGAAGGCTGAGAAACAATAGCAAAATGGCAACGCAGCATGGTTGCATTTCACATGTGAAATATCTGCATTTTATACAGCCGGGCTTCGCATTTCATGTTGTATATCAATGGCTTCGTTAAAACAGCAAAGTAAGGCTTTTGGTGTATGTAAATAATTTCTACCCCTCTCAAGTTGCCCCCACTAAACATTTTACAATAAAGCGATATATTCGACTTATAGATCGGTATTGCATGTAGAAAGCCCGGGCTTCTGAGAGCCTGCATTACATACCGGGCTTCGTATCATCCGTCATACATGTATATATATATATATTTTTTTTTTTTTGACCTACACAATCTTGAGTTTTATTTTGAGACGTTGCTTAACCCATAAGCAGTCGCGCGTGGGTAAAAATGACCCAAGCCGTACATTTTGTCAAATATCCTTTTTCGCTTAATCCCTATGGACTTCCGACACTTTATGTGACCCTCAAATATGCATTTTTTTTTGTAATAATTTTTTTTAAATAAAAATTTTACTTTTTATGATATTACGTTTACGGGTTAAGTTGTTAGGTAAAATGGGTTTGACTATATATTAACAAGACGCCTTTGCCAAGACGCACTAGAAAATTGTTTTGGATGGATTAGGAAACAAAATGGAAATTCTATTAACACCACATCTAATCAATTTCAAATGGCTTTTAGAAAATTAATCATACAAGATTATTTTGATGAAACGAACACAGGTAATCAAAACTGCGAGCCTGATATGGAAGAAATTTAAAAAGTTAAATGTAGGTCGTCGTTTTGATGAAGAAGAATCAGTCACCACGATGCAGAAGACCACCTTAAAAGATTGTGAAAGTGATCACACAGCTGAACAAAACGCAGTTAGATATATCTATGGCTACCTAATTCGGAAATGTTTATTAGTACATAGTTGTAGTGAGTGTGAAAAATATGCAAATGAACATAAAAGTTTAGACAACACAAGCATATATTCACGTTTCAGAGCCTACCAAACGAGGAATTGCGAGTTATTTGGTAAATTATATATGCCAAATGATAATTTCTTTTTTTTACATTTGTGAATTAGAGCAAATTTTTAGTGAAAATTTTGGCGCCGACACGAGCTGTCTCTACTGATTGATATCTATACTGTGGCTCTATACTTGGTAGATAGGCAACCAACATTTCATTAAACAATTTACACAACTAGAATTGTTTGTTTTTTCTATTTCTTCTATTTGGTGAAATCGTAATCCTCAAATATAGTGATCTGTTTAGACTTTAGAAACACTGGTGTGAAATAAAGTAACATTTTATCAGTAATTTTTGCATCCTTAGTGTGGGACTAATGACGGATACAGCATAAAATACCTTAGATAAACCATGGCCGACTAGTATAAAGATTATGGCCTGTCCAAGAGGTACCATACGTGTTGCCATCTATTAATAATTACACTTAATAATTTAGCAAAATTTTAATTTGATTTGACATTATGAGACTTCAAAACGTGTAATGGTCGTTTGTTTCGGTATGAATGCCTTTGTGCCTTTCAAAAAGTGTTAATAATTCTTTTGTGGTTTTTGCATTATTAATAGATGGCAGCACGTATGGTACCCTTGGACAGGCCATAATCTTTATACTAGTCGGCCATGGATAAACATAGTAGATAAGAACTGCTATCACGACAACGCTTAAAATACATTTCCTTTCAAAAAATTTGCATAAAAATAAAGGACAGAAATATATTATGTCTATATCATTTATTGTTTCTTGTAAAAAAGGGAGAATACATTTTCCCTGATTTCTCCAACGTTCTCTAGTTACAACTGTGGTTACATTTCCCTAGATCCCTAGAATATGGTTTAATAAATTTCGAAATCTTGGTGGAGGAGCCTTTGATTCCAGCGACGTCTGGATGAACTAATATGAAAATAAGTTCGTTTTTTCTCGTCTCTAGCAGTTTCCATTGGTATCCCTGCATTGCAGTTACAACAGTCAACAACAGAGGTCGACGTAATCACTTATCAAAGCGAATATAACCTAACTTTTATATGTTGCATGTGTTGTGTTTTTGTGAATCAAGTAAATTTATCAAATAATGTCCGATAAAGAAAAGAACACCATTAAAAATAAGAAAAAAGGCAAAACCAAGGTAAAAGTATTTCAGAAGAAGAAGAAACCACCAACTTCAGAATCAACGTTCATAGAAAACTTGCAACAGCAATATGAAAACGTAATTTACTCTTTATTTGTTGGTAATTATGTACATATATACATTTTTTTAGATTGATACCGAAGCGATTAATAGCTTTGCGGACTTACCTTTATCCCCAAAAACTTTAAAAGGTCTAAAAGAATGTGGTTATACTAAACCAACCGAGATTCAAAAAGAAACCATTAAACTCTCTCTTACTGGAAAGGATATACTTGGGGCAGCTCAAACTGGGTCTGGTAAAACCCTGGCCTTTCTGATACCTATTTTAGAGAGGCTGTTTTGTAAGCAATGGACAAGCTTTGATGGTGTTGGGGCCTTGGTAATCACACCCACCAGGGAACTGGCGTATCAGATTTTTGAGGAACTGAGAAGAGTTGGAGAACATCATGAATTTTCCGCTGGTTTAATCATCGGAGGGAAAGATTTAAAGTTTGAGAGGAATAGAATGGATCAATGTAATATTGTAATTTGTACACCAGGACGGTTATTACAGCACATGGATGAAAACCCGCTGTTTGATTGTGTAAATATGGAGGTATGAGTGTCGTCATTTCAAATAAGCATAATTTTATTCTACACAATTTCTAGATACTGGTCTTAGATGAAGCTGATCGGTGCTTAGATTTAGGTTTTGAACAAACAATGAATGCAATAATAGCGAATTTACCGGCAAAGCGCCAAACGATGTTGTTTTCTGCAACACAAACAAAATCAGTAAGAGATCTCGCAAGATTGAGTTTAAAAGATCCAAGTTATATATCTGTACATGAACATTCTGAGTATAGCACACCTAAAGGGTTGCAACAAAGCTATGTAGTATGTGAACTTAAAGATAAAGTTTCCATTCTTTGGAGTTTTATAAAAAATCACTTGAAACAAAAAATTATTATATTTTTTGCTAGTTGTAAGGAGGTTAAGTATATTTATGAAATTTTTTGCAAGTAAGTGTTTATCAATCTTAAATAAAGATTTTTTAAAAATGTTTTTTTGTTAAAGATTAAGACCTGGTGTAAGTCTGATGCCTTTATATGGGACACTTCACCAGTTAAGAAGAATGGATATTTATGAAAATTTTTGCAAAAAAACTTCAGCTGTTCTTTTTGCAACAGATTTAGCTGCTCGTGGTTTAGATTTTCCAGAAGTGCATTGGGTCGTTCAGGCAGATTGTCCAGAGGATGCCGCTACATACATCCATCGTGTTGGCAGAACAGCAAGGTACCACAGAGGGGGGGAAAGTTTACTTTTGCTACTACCAACTGAGCGGCAAATGCTGGAAAATTTAAAAGAGAGAAAAATACCAATAGAAAAAATAGAGTAAGTTGTAATGTTAGTGTAAGCGTGTTTATTCATTTATTCTATTAATTTAGCATCAATCCAATGAAACTTAACAATCCAGTACGAAAAATGGAGGCGTTTTTGGCAAAAGATCCAACACTGAAAGACACAGCGCAGCGCGCTTTTGTGTCTTACGCCAAATCCGTGTTTCTAATGAAGGATAAAAAGGTGTTTGATGTACAGTCTCTGGATACTGATTCATTTGCAAACTCTTTGGGGTTAGCGGTACCGCCACGAATTCGATTTTTGCAGAGGTTAAATGCGAGAACTGGAAAAAACATACAAAATAATAATAAAGTGTACTTTAATGATGATATTGAAGAACAATCTGAAAAAGTTTCAAGTGATAGCGGTGTCAGCGAGGAGGAGAAGTCTACCCCATTTCATGTGTCAGATGACAGTGAAAGTGATGACGGTCTTTTAAAAGTGAAGAGGAAAGATCATGATATAGACTTACCTTCAGAATTTGAGTTACAAGAAAACACTAGGAACACTAAGAAAAAAGCCGTAACGAAGGCTGCAGTTGTTAAAAAACTGTTGAAGAAGAAAATTGTATCCAATAAGAAGATTGTCTTCAATGATGAGGGTAAAGCACTGGCTGTTGGTCAGGATAAGAGATCAGAATTGGCTCAACAGTATGAAAATGAAGATGCTGGAGGCATTGACATTGAAAGGGCCAAATTAGTGTTAAGGGAAGAAGATAAGTTTGATAAGCAGTTGTTTAAAGACAAAGTTAAAGCCAAACATAAAGAGGAAAAGCGAAAGTTGAAAGCTAAGAAGAAGAAGGAAGAAGAGGAAAAGGATGATTTTGGAGAGTCTGAATCAGAAGAGGAGCCTGATTTGTCCTGGTTGCCAGATCCAGATAAAATTTACGGTAAAAAAAATGACGAGGAAGAGCCGCAACAAGTTAGTGACGAAGTATCAATAAAAAAGAAGTAAGTATAAAGAAAGCATATAAAAAATTGGCTAAGATACAAAGTTCAGGTTTGTCATTTTTGGACTGGTTTGACCTTACCCTTTGTATTTTATGGCTGCGCGCCAGCTCATTTACAACTGTTTGTATTGTACCTCAATTTTAAAAAATAATTTCAGGAGCAAGAAACGACCGCTGAAGCAGGAAAAAACGGAAGCAGAGTTGCCCCCTAAAAAGAAGAAGAAAAAGAAACTGAAAGAGATTAGTACAGATTTAAGTGTGAATGAAGCAGAGGAATTGGCGATGATGTTATTGAAGAAAAACCAATAGATCTGTATATAAGTTTATATTTAAAACAAATAAACCATAAAAATTAACTTTCTTCACAAGAGCAATCTTCAATCCAGTTTTTGGGATTCTTTAAAACTTCCAGTAGTTCTCCCTCTGGCGATTTGCTTTCAGGCTGATGCATATATTCCCACCTCTGCAATAATTCATTAAAGTCGTTATAAAGCTAAAACTTTTGTTTCACTTACGGCAAGTAAGGGCAGCGACATCAAAATACTCTCATGTCTGGCGTGTGGTGTATTAAAACCAAATTTCGTACCTCTGTCGTAGACTAGATTGAATTCTACGTACCGTCCACGCCTCAATAGTTGCCAGTCTCGTTCACTTTTAGTATATGGAGCATGTTTATGTCTCGCAACTAAAGCAACATTTATATTATCAGACATAAAATCGAACATTTTTTACCTAAAGGAATGTAAGAAGGAATAACCGCGTCTGCGCAGTCAGTGGCAAATTTAAAGCAAGTTTCTCGATCGGGCTGATCCAAATCGTCAAAAAATATCCCTCCGATCCCCCTCCTTTCCCCTCTATGAGGAATATTAAAATAGTCATCGCACCACTTTTTAAATTTCGGATAAAACGACTTGTCATGCTTATCACAGGCTTCCTTGAGCGTCGCATGAAAATGTATAGCGTCGGCGGTACTCAAATAATACGGCGTGAGATCAGTACCGCCCCCGAACCACCATACAAGGTCGTCCCCGTCTTGCACCTCAAAATAGCGATAGTTAAAATGTATAGTTGGCACCATTGGGTTTCTGGGGTGTATAACAGCACTAATACCCGCTACGAAGTAAGGCGGCTCGTCATTTTTGAGCTTTTTACCACGAGAACGCATCTGGGCGACACCGCCTCGGGATAAATTTCCAGAAATGACGGAAATGTTGACGCCTGCTTTTTCGAAGACTTTGCCGTCTTGGAGGACGCAGGTGATCCCGCCGCCGCCACCGTCGTGACGGAACCATCGGTCAACTTGGAATTTGTTGCAGTCTTCTTCTTTTTCTAGAGCTTTGCATACTTCGGCTTGGACTCGTAGGATCATGAGTTCCATGCGGGTTTTCATGTCGTCGCGGGCGGCATCTAGTTGCGGAATGGGGGTAATGGGTAAGGCCATGAAGTCGTCGGTTGGGATGATGAGTTTTTTGGAGGAAAATAGGGCGAAGGCCCCCACGAAAACCGAGCCATAAGTTCTGGAACAAGAATAAATTAGTTATCTATATATATGTTATTATTAACGTATTAAATATTACGGTCGAAGCCAAAATTGCATACAATTTCATAGCATATAAGTATATTATATATAACAAGTGAAAAAGAAAAATATGTAGTTAATAAAAAAACTTATACAATCAAAATATTCCTCTATTTTGTTAAAAAATCATAACCTCTTGCTATATGTAAGAAGACTATTTATTACTCAAACGAATTTATATTACGCTCACCTTATTGAAAAATAATTCCAAAACATTTCCAAAAAGCTCACAACAAAAATGCAGTTTATCTTTTTGTTTCAAACTGGATTTAAAAGCTTCGTTGAAATCAGTTAAAACTGTAATCAGGTGGTAAGATCGATGTCACCAACTGGAGCCAAGTCATATGGTGCATCGTTTAAGCAAAAAAATAAATAAATAAATAACTACTACAAAGAGGTCTAATAAAAATGCGTTTTGGCAAGAGTTTGGTGTACTTTGGAAAAAATAAAATTTATTTCACCGTGTTATTATTTGTGATTTGTGTCAAAATAAGTTTGGAGGGCAACAAACCATCGTTATTTTTTTCGGTTTTGTGTTATTCTATTAAATTGGTTTTTTAGTAATTTCGACAGAACTTCCCTTGCTTCTGAAATACAGTCCAACAAATACTCCATCTCTAAAAAAATATAAGATTTGACTTTGCGGAATTTTAATTGAAGAAAAAATAATATAGGAGGTACTAGTCGCAGTGTAAAAAAAAGGTTTCACCTTCTATAAAAAACCACAGTTAAAAAAGACATTCGGGGTCTCCGAGAAGGTTTTACATAAAAAAAAAACAGTTGGGATTCCTGAGAAGGTTTCACATAAAAAAAGACTTTGATGTTCCCGAGAAGGTTTTACATTAAAAAAAAAAACATTTGGGGTCCTCGAGGTTTAACATTTTTAAAAAAACATTTGAGACCTCTGAGAAGGGACACATTCTTAAAAAGAGACAGTTGGGACCCCGGAGAAGGTTTCACATTCTTAAAAAACACATTGGCTTCCCCCGAGAAGGTTTTACATTTTTAAAAAAGACAGTTGGGACCCCCGAGAAAGTTTCACAAAAAAAAGACTTTGGGGCTCTCGAGAAAGTTTTACATTAAAAAAAAAAGACAATTGAGACTGCCGAGAAGGTTTCACAATCTTAAAAAAAACATGGGATCCCCGAGAAGGTTTCACATTACTTTGATGTTCCCGAGAAGGTTTTACATTAAACACAAAACATTTGGGGCCTCCGAGAAGGCTTCACATTTTTAGAAAAAGATATTCGGGGACTCCGAGAAGGTTTTACATAAAAAAAAACAGTTGGGATCCCCGAGGTTCCACATTAAAAAAAAAAACCTTTATGTTCCCGAGGAAGTTTTACATAAAAAAAAATCTGGGGCCCCCGAGAAGGTGTTAAACTGTTATTATACCGTGCATTATATTTTTTGCAAAAATTTGGACTGTTAGGGAAAACTCAAAGCGGATTCGTACACCACACTTGTAGGACTATATTGTTGTACCTATAACAGTTAAATCAAATAAACATAGAATTCTTTGAAATGACGTCATCAAATTGTTGGTAGCGATGATTAGCAAAATTTTGGTTGGCATTTAACCATCTACATGATATTTCTAATATGGATACAAAATTTGACAACAATCGGTCCAGCAGTTTCAGAGATTACGTGTTCAATAAAAATCTATACAGACAACAAGCAGACGGACGGACGGATAGCCAGACGGAAACGGGGGACTACTTTTTTCGTACTCTACGGATCATGAAACGTTGGGAAAATATAAAAGTGATCATTCGTCCGATGGAGTCGATTACTATACTAAAAATTGGTCCAAGGTTATTTAGAGCGAGCTTCAATAAATCCAGGTTCTTCTAAAAAAATTTGATTTTTCGAAAATGTATTCATTTTATGATAGGTACCTACAAAATATAGATAATACCAGCCACAGTGCACGAAAAAAAAATCCACGAGGGGATAGAATCGCGTTATTAGCACGATGGTTCACATACTGAGGCAATCTGCCTTTAATATGCCTTCATTTTATGCTATTACAAAATTTTATCACACAATTTGTATTTTTTTTTGCAAAAATCTAGAAGTCTAGGGTAAATAATAAAGGTAAATTCATAAACTATAAGTGAGATGTTAAAAAACCGTTTTTATTAAATGGTTCGTTTTTTTCTGTTTTAAAACGTGATTTTTGATTTTAGTGTTTTTTGCTGTTACAAACATTTATCACTTATAAATTTATTTGATAATTGTGTACTACATACCCTAAAATTTCAAAATTTCTGTTCCTTGTAACAAAAACTAACATCAGTCACATGAAACAACTGAAAAAGGTACAGAATTAAAAAAATTTATATAATCAAAAAATAACAGGTCTCATCGTGTTTAAAAAAAAAACTGTTTTAATACAATACTTCCTTAGATTCGCTTGGGAAGTAAAAACGAGTTCATCAGTGTTACAATTTATTTGTTTTTTAGAATTCTAGCAACATCCTTCCAAAAGTAAGTCATCTCAACAAAAAATCAATTAAAGTTTTACTATGAAGAGCACGACCATACAGCTTTGGATTTATAATAAGGCACAGTAGACACTGGCCTAGGGCATCAAAGCTGGAGGGGCCCTAAAAACTTTGGAAATGTATATTTAAAATTAAAAATTGCAACATTTTATTATTATCTTAGTACTCATTGACAAATTTTTAATTGTTCGAGTAATTCTTTGTGGTAGGTCACCGCTGCTGACACAGGAAATCACATGTGCAGAGGCGGCCAGTTTGCGAACAAATCAGTACGGAATACTGAACCTTATAGGACCCATATCTAACAAAGGTTGGTTTGCCGTACAAACCGTGTGCAAGACCATAAAGTAGTTTCCGAAATTTCTGAGAATTTAAATAGGAGATTTTCTAAACAGGTCATTTAAGAAACAATATATTTCAGCATCGTACAGTAGCAGATTTAGTAGCTTTCGGCACTTCGCAATTTGTGCAATAGCATTACAATTTGATTTTTATTTTAGTACCTTTGTACTGTAAATGTTATTGTTGTCAGTCATATCTAGAAAAGGTAAGTGTTCAGTTCTTGTAATTTTCATAAAAGTAAACGCCATTTCATTTTTGATTCAAGAATTTTTTGTTTAAAATAAAATTAAAATTCGTAAATTATTAATAAATTTAAAAAGACCCTTTGACATTGCCACAAATTAAAAAAAATGTCAAATTGCTGTTAATTTTTTTTCTGTTATACAAACAGTGTATAATTTTTTTTTCGTCTTCGACAGGCGGGTAGAATCTTACGAAATCTGCTATTCAAAATGACAACATTCTGAAGAGACTTTCGAGCACCCGTTGGGAGACTCATGCTGTGCAACTTCAACAATCTTGGAATCATTTAATAAGATAATAAATACTTTAGACTATATATTTACAAGTATAAATTGTAAATGAAGGTAGATTCTTGTTCAATAAAATTAATAAAGGCGTTATGCAAACACTCCCTTATTCCTGGGGAGGGTTGGGGGCACCACCAGTCTTTGGTGCTTAGGGCATTAGAATAGTTAAATCCGGCCCTGCGACCATACCTAGGGAAGAAATTTGGTTCATTGTGACGAATGTCTAATTTCATGTTTTCTCGATATTTCACAGCTCGTATAATGCAAAAGTGTCGGTTATTCATTGCCGTTGCGCTATTATTATACCGACAACTTCGAAACTACTAGATTGATTTATTGTGAAATTTAAGGGGGATATGCTGCAGATGGTAAAACGTTGAACAAAATTCTGTGATTCCCAACAAAAATTTGATGGGAATCACAGAATTTTGATGAGTAAATCGCTTGAATTTTACATTGCAATATGGTCTCCACCTGTGAATAATGTATCAATATTTTTAACTTTTACTGATGCACTAAGATTGATTTAATGCATTTAACATATTGATTAAAATTTATTAAAAATCAAGATACAGATTTTTCAAAACCTTGTATAATATGTACCACAAGGCACCAATTCAGTACCTGCCATCTTCTCATTCGTTTTTAAGCGTGCTCATTTAAAAATTGAGAAATGCTTCGCACTGACATGCTGACATTGCTGCCAATAATTCAGAATTGCCAACCCAATAATTCCCTTCAATCATTACTCGTCACCCGGCATTATAATGCCAGAGCATTAGCTTCCGTGTATAGCAGTGGCGGCTCGTGACTGTCTGATGTGGTGAGGCGATGATAGAAGTTTGACAATAATAGTAATATTACTTGGTCTTACTAGTTAGTAATGATAGAAGTCTTGCCTGAATACCGGCCATTCCCGGGTCAGTGGTAGGTCCTAATAATAAAAATATTAATAATAATAATAATAATAATAACACCCATAACACATTGAATCAACAATGTTTTTACAAGTCAAAATTTTGTTGAAAGTAGCACTTTCTTGGAGGGATTCGGGAATAGTTGTTGTGTTCTTTTCTAAATGTTTTAAGCCAATGAAATTTTTAATGTGTGCTTTGGAACTTTCATGTAACTTTGCACTTGGGATGAAATTCTTGAAATCGTTATATCCCGGGATGTGTAAATATTACGGCAGAGCCATTTATATGTTTCGTAGGTACCAAGTTGATTTAAAAGTCTTGGAGTACTAACGATTCTGTCGCTTATCAATGGAAGTTAAATGAATTAACGGTTTTGACTGCTCGATATTTAGCAAAATTTGTCGACGTTCTAGCTCGGTTCGCCGTGCAAACGGCGTTTCAAGAAGCAACATGACGATATCGTACTCGGGATTTATTTTTCACTCACCTGTACCTATGAAAGAGACAATAACACAAAACACCAACACGTGGGTTTTTATTCACGTTCATGCTAATTACCCACGCACCCCGCAACCCTACCTTTCTGTAAAATAAATGGAAAAATGGTTTAATGAGTACGCCGAAATTGGCCGAGAAGCA